TTTGATAATAATTTTTGAAAAATAAAAAATTGAGAAAGTAATATTAAAAATGCTGTAACTGCTTTCAATATTTTATTTGTTAAGTTGAAAAAACATGGTGATTTTATGAAAACAAAGAAACAAGTAATACTAACGCTCTCCTCTTCGATGGACTGCTGAGGTGATTGCAGTTTTTGCTGGCTGGGGCACGGCTTTCCTGGTTTCTGTTTTGTAAGGTCCTTCGCTGCTGCGGTGATGTTGGATCCATTTGTTTCGCTGAATGTTTGGCCGTTTTATGCGATGTCCTGTCTGAGGGATTTTTGTATAGGTACCATCGGCTAATTTTGTTTTCCTTGCGTATGTGAAGCTTTATAAAGGATTGTATATTCTTGCTCCTAATTTTGTTTCCTACAGTTAGCGTCTCCCCCTTGTTTCAAGGGTTGCTTCACTTAGGGTCTATTTAAAAGTTTTTTTTTTCACTGGTTTTGAGGGATTTTTAATTAGACTGGTTTTGAGGTATTTAAAAACCATTACTTGTTAAATTTTTTATGGACTGGTTTTAACTAGTTTAAAAACCCCCCAAAACCAGTGTAGTATATTTTTTAGGGATTTATAAAACACCCCAAATCGGGGTGTTTTGGTTGGTTTAAAAATTTTATCCCAAAAAAACCCCTTTCCACTATTATTCATATACAATAATCCCTTTGCTAGTTTAAAAAATTCTTTAAACCCCATTCAATCTTCAACTTTTAGATCATTGTTACAATGCTTTTGAATCTTTTATCTTAGGCTTTCTAATCCTTTATTAGAGATATGAAGGTTTTTCTTTCTTCTTCATTTTCCCCTTCAACTTTTTGTTCTTTTAATCTGGTAAACTCCTCTGCAGGCTGTATACAATTTAATTGCATTTCTTTACCAGTTGTTTTACAAAATTACGTGGTTTTTCCACTATTTGATTCTTTCTATTTACGTTTAGATGATTGATTGAATCCTTGTCAATTTGTTAAATAAAGATTGTTCTTTATGGCTTTGCTTCACTCATTGAAGAAAAGAACAAAAAACTGTTTTTTAGAAATGCTGTTGCGGCTGTTATATTGATAATTTGCGAAGTCCAACATTGTGGCAGCATATTTATTCTCTTAAAATGACAGATTTCGAATGATTGTGTGATAAATTAAATAATATACAATGAAAGAACTTACAAATAAATTAAACTTGGAAGGAACTTTGATACTAAGTATTGGTAATTGAAAAAAAAAAACTCCCAAATACTAGTTGAAGTTTGAGTATTTTTGTGGGCATATATGTAAATTTATCATTTTAAAAAACGGTCAGAATCGTTGGAAAATAAATTCCCAAGCATAGGTTTGGTGTTTTAAAACCGCTACTAAAACCCCTCAAAACTGTTACAGTGGTTTACCCTCAAAACCGCTACGATGGTTTATCCTCATAACCAGTACCATAAAACTCTCAAGCAGACCCTAAGATTCCCTTGCTTAAATAATGTATATTCATTTATCTTTATAAAATTATCAGTTACTTAAAAAAAGGATTATTAAGATTAAGTTTAATAATTTAATCCAATTACAGAGATAAATACAACTATTCATATTTAAGATAAATACAACTAGACCTAGCAATACACTACCCATACCCATGGGTAAACGCGTATCCGCACCCAACGGGCGGATACGGTTATCTCATAACATAACCGCATAAAATCGACCCATACTCGACCCCCCCTGAAATTTGCAAGTGGGTCGAGTAATACCCACGGATACCCACGATTGAATTTTAAAAAAAAAAAAAAAATTAAAATATCATAAACTCAAATAAAATAACTAAACAAAACAAACCCTAAGTGAAAAAATTTCACTGAAAACGCAACTCTCACTCTCTCAGACTCACAGACACAATACACACTCATCACTCAAGTCACTCAACTCTCTTCTCTCAGACTCTCACGCGGCAGTTCAACACGGTAGCGGCAGCACACGCCGACGAACTCAACTCTCTTCTCTCTCAGACTCACAGTACACACTCATCACTCAACTCTCTTCTCTCACGCAGGCGACACAGCACGACAGCAACAGCACGCTCAATCGCTCACGACTGCCTCAGAGCTGACTGTCACCGACGAACTCAGCTCTCTTCTCTCACGCAGCAGCAGGTCAACCACACGCTCACGGCTCCCTCACAGCTCACTCAAGCAGGATGCAGCCACGGTCAGATCAGAGCTCATTGTCGCCGACGAACGATAGCTCCCAAACCCAATCCTCTTGACTCTTGAGTGGGTACGTGTAATCACATGCATTTGACTAAAATATTAGCAATAAATATTAAAAATGTAATCACATGCAACTCGACTCAACTCACCGATCTGCTACTTAGTCATCGTGATGGAAATGCCGGAGAAACTTTGAGTCAGTCTTCAAACTCAAGAATTAGAAAGAAAAGAGAGAAAATAAAAAATAGAGAGAGAAAAAGGAAACCAAACACACAGTGTAAATTTATTTTTTATTTTAAATATGAAAATAATAATTAATAAATAAATGAATGAATTTACTTGTTTGGGCACTCCTTCGTGTTTTTATAATTTGCCAAACACACCCTTTCGCATTTTGTTGTCACATGGTTCTTATGCTTCATAAAATTTATGTGAAATTAAACAATAAATAAATAAATAAAAAATATCATTTTTCTCGGATGACCCGCAGGTTGACCCGTATCCGCACAAGTTGGTATGGGTTATACATATATTGACCTGTACGAAAAATCTACTCGTAAATCTGTACCCGTTGATACCCGACATGTACCCGTCGGACCTGCCCGTTTGCCAGGTCTTAATTCAACCACTCATATTTAAGATAAACACGATCCTTCATTGGACCCGCTCCTTTGTGCAAGCCAATTTTCATTCTTCCACGGTTCCACCAGGCCCAGCCAGGCAGCCAATTTTTAGTCTTGGGCCGGAAGTCAGGCCTGGTCTGCAATCAACCTAGCGGCCCAATTTGCCTTCATGCGGGCTTGAAAGCGATCTGTTCCCTGTCGCACCAGCGCCTCAAACTACAGGCATGCTATGGCCCAATTTGCTAAAAAAAATTGTTTAAAGTGGAGATTTGGGAATACAACTATACATGTTTGCTAAAATAAGGAGAAAACTAATAGGTAACGTTTGGTTGAGGATAGTAAAAGATAACTTTGGTAATCTGTCTTTTAATTCGACTATTACTATGTTTGATTGTTAAGAAATAAAATATTTTGGTATTCTTTCAATAACAATAGTGATTATTATAGGTAATATGGGAGGTCATCTGATTACTTATTAAAAAAAAAAATTTTTATTATCGTGATAATCCACTGTTCAAACCAATTTTACCCATAATTAATAAATATTTTAGACACAAATATCCTCATATGTCTACCAAATAATAATTAGCCCCAATGTGCAAAATAACTTATGTAAACTCATAAATTAATTTTTTGGACAAAAATACCCTCACTATTTACATGAATAATATCCAAATACCCTCAACCACCCAAGATAATTGTCGGTCGCCAACAACTACCACTAGCCACCGACAATCGTCTTGGGTGGCTAGAGGTATTTTGTTAAATTTTAAACTTTTGTTGTGGCTATAGTGTTTTAGCTAAATTATCAAATGTAAGAAGTTAAGAGTAATATTCTAAATAACAATAATAACAATATTAAAAATGAAAGACAATTTAATAAAAGCCTTTTTGATAATATTTTATTCCTTCGAATCAAATATATTAATTATTTATATCCACCTATATAATCAAATATATTAATATAATATTCTTAATTAATTTTTAAGATAATTTATCCCGATATTATAATATTTTCTAACCAAAAGCTACCTGGTCATGAGATATAATTGGAGATAAAAATTTGGGTAATTTTTCCTCTCCGTTTTTGTGAAATATTCCCCTTTTTCCATGTTACATCTTGTCAGTTAGCCCTTGAGTTTTGTCACATCCATGTCTGATTAGGCTTGTCTTATTGCTAGAACCAGTAAATCTATCTCTTGTTTGGAAGGAAGTCTGAATCAGACCTTGATTTTAAATTTTAAACGGCTAGTGTTAAAAGATCATAACACGAGAGATCATAACACGAGAAAAATTGTAAAAGTAACCTCTTTCTAAATTAAAATTGGATCCAAAAATCTATTATAAGTTTGCAAATAATGATGATGAAATAATTGTAGATAATACTGTCAGAGTAGCCCCACCACCACCTTATGTGAAAATGAACTTCCGATTGAGGACCTGAATTTTGACTCATCAAACACTATCCATGCAAAGAGAAACTTCCTATTTCACATCAATCTTTGTACAAAACCAACGTACACTCGTGACAGAATAAAGTGCAGTCTAAACAAGCAAAAAGGACCTTTAGATCATCATTAATCGTTGGCTCTTTACCCACGATCCTTCCTTGTTTCTGTCTTTTACTTCTCATATGTTTCATGTTTCCATCTAAATAATTTGAAACAATACCAACTTACATGATTAAACATAAACTTTTTAGTCCAAATTATTGATGCATGCAACTGTTTCTTGGTATATTGCCATAATCTTAAACGTCAGAAATTTCTGTTGTATCAGAACGCACCAATAACTGTGTACGATAATCACATATAGCACAATTTTTTTTCTGTCAGAAATGTGGATGTTTGGTCAGTTTCTTAACATTTGCCGGAACTTTGGAATAATTCATACTAACATTATTGATCATATATATGGAGAAGCATATATATGTACAGGTACCGAATTGATTTGCATAACTTTCTTGTTAATATTAGTTGTTTTCAAACATATTCATTATGTGGAAGACATCAATTTTCATGAAGTAAAACTGGTCAAGCATCAAGTGAAAAATGGCAAGCATAATAATTGTTTAATGGCAATCACCAGTTTCACTATGTCAAGTCCAACACAATCCAACACTCAAAGGTACACCAAGAAAAAAAATAAAAAAAAAATGGAGTAATACTACTGAAAGATGCACACCGAATGACGTGACGTAATCCTAATCGTTTATTTATTTTAAGTTAATATTAATCAATGATCAGGATTTTGCTGTCATTCGGTGTATAGATAATTTTCGGTAACTCTATCACTTTCCCAAAAAAAAAAAAAAAAAAATTGCAACTTTTTGGTGAAAGAATAAAACCAAATACAGACTAGATATTTATCTTCCCCAGAGTTTTAGCACTTATTTCTGAGCAAGCCTTTGTCGATTTTGTCTCATCATCACCCCTTCCCAGGAGAGACACGCCGAGCTTATCATTTGACGGTACACAATGCTCCAGTTTTTGTAGTTTAATATGCAGCAGTTGGGACATGTTCCTTTTTACAAGACTGTAACATCTTTTCACCATATCCTGTTACAATGAGATTAGGACAAAGAATTTTTATATCTGGTTAAAAGTGAAAAATAAACCAAACACATCATTGAAACAGTCTTCTTGTTTGGTCAAATTTAGTACAAACAATCAAGAATGCAACAAAACTATATGTTACTTTTGATTTTACATATAGAAACTGAAGCATAGTAGATGACTTACTTTGTTCAGTCTTTTGTGCAGGCACTCCAACTTGTGATCATCAACAGGCTGATTTGTGACCCACAGCACCACAGCTGCAGCGGTTGTAGATGGAGGATAATCCAAGAAATCAATCACTGTTTAAAAATAGCCACATTATTGAGTCTTGAGAATGAAGGACAGAAAGATTTAAATCAGTCTGGGAATTAAATCACCTCTACTTGTACTGATAATAAGATCCGAGGCAGCAGAGATCACAGAGCTGAATCCATTACTATGTTGGGGACTCGAACAATATGAAATTTTAGAAATGAAATAATGTAAAAAATCGAAAGGTGTTATGCTGCGCAATCGCCACTTGAGACTGCTCCCAACAAGAAGCTCCATCCTTTGAACCGTTTTGGGCTTGAACAAGAATCTGGGTTCTATTAGTTGCAGGTCTAAGAGAAGTGGGACACTTGTTTCCTCCATTTTTGCAGCTAGAGATAGACACGCTACTGATAAAAGCCGCCAGTGCCATTCTTTCCCAGTCAAATTATGGGACAAGACGAAACGATCCAAATAATTCACAGAAAGATACGCGGTTTCAGGCTGAAATCGATAATGAGAATGCACCTGCAATGTATATAATTTACAAAAACAAAAAGAATTCCATTCGAGGTACACAATAAATGAAGCGAAATAGCACGTACCTTCAACATCCATTTGATTGCCTCTTGACGAGAAGTGACAATCCCTGGAAGTTTACCATACTTGGAAAATAATTCATGTCCTTGCAATTGATCAAGCTCAGAGTCGAAAATACTAACAATGTAATTCTCTTCGTCGTCATCAACGTGAACAAAAGAACCACAAGATTCAAAGTCGTCACAAATGTCAGCATCTAATGAAACCAAGTCGCCGGCTTCTTCTGTGCAGTACAAGAAGTTACAAGTTGGGGACAGAGACATTGAAGATGATATGGTGAATGTGAATCTCTAGTAAATAAATATCATCTTCAATTACTTCTCTATCTTTCAGAAAAAGTTCAGAGATTTATGCAGTGATAGTTGTGTCGGGTTCCTAGCTATTTGTAGTGGAGCTTTGTTAGTCAAAATCAGAGTTACACTTAGGTTAGGTGCTGATGTGGCAGGAAGAGTAGGCCTCTACTGATTTTTGTACGAAACTTCGTTGCACTGATGCCATGTGATGTAGGGACGTCATCAATCCTGAGATGTGGGTGTTATGTAAATTCCATATCATTATCTGCTAACACAAACACAATTAACCCAAGCAACACACAATACCAATCCAACGCATCAACTCAAGAACACCAAAATACCGTGGTTCACCTTTCCACAAAGGAAAGATTACATCCACTTGAGCTCCACATGATTTTGGGCTCACTGCCTATGGAATAAAGTGTTTTACAGATTTAGAAAACTCTCACCGATTTTACCCAAAGATCAATCAGAAACTCACGTCACACAAAACCTGCCAACAATCCCGAGATGACTTGACCCAATCTCTAAAAACTTGAAGGAACAACCTGCCCTCACCCAGGATTACATAGATTTGCAACTCCAAAACAAGATTGAAACAAACTCCAACACTCAAAGGTAAACAATCTGATGCGTAAAGAGAAGAAGCAAAAAAAACTGTTTCTGTGTAAAAAGCTCTCCCTTTTATAGTTTGACCTTGTGCACTCATTTCTGCCCTTGATCTACTTATTTCAGTGGCTTGTCTGCTCCAATCTTGAGTGAAACTGCAAAGCGAGCGTTTTGCTTAATGAATTCTGCAGAAACTTGTGGTTTTGAGCTTCAATATACAATCTCCCACTTGAAGCTTAAACTTCTACAACCCAAATTCCCCTAAGTGCAGCTCACCATCCTAACTCCCTTCATAGCTCAGTTCTACCTGTCCTTGACCAACTAGGTTCAAGCAATGCTTGAACTGGCACATGACATCTTGGTACCCATACATAGGATTATCTTCTGTTGGGACTTTCTTCAAGATGATCAATCCTTGGGCAACTAGATCTCTAGCGAAATGATCTCACATCCACATGTTCGGTCCTGTCATGATAGACAAGATTCTTGCTCAGGTGAATGCGCTTTGGCTGCCTAATAAATTTTGGCTACTCCCTCATCAAATTCACTTCAGTTAGTATTCTTGGAGCCACAGTGCTTCCTTGAATACATCAGCAACAGCACATACTCTGCCTCATGAGGAGAGTGCCACACATAGGTAGCTGGGATTTCCAGCTCACACAGTTTCCTCCATGTGAGACATAAGCATGGTTGATTTCTTGTGTCTTTATCCCCTGCAAAATCAGAATCTACAAAACTCACAAGATCAGTGAATTATATCTTTACAATATTTCCAAACAATATGTGAAGTGCCATTAATATACCTAAGAACCCATTAAAGGCTGACCAGTTTTCTGACCCAGGATTTGACATAAACGACTCAACAATGACATAGAAAGGTAGGTCAGGTCTGGTGCTAATCATGGCATACATAGTTGACCCATTACATTGCATAGGGGACTTGTTCCATCTTTATTAACTCAGAATCTGTTTGGGACATTGGTGTGTTTTACTAAGTGTGAAATGACTTGCTAAGGCATAGATACAACCTTTGTCAGCCATATTAACCTTAGAAACTAATTTTTCAAGTAGGAGTTTTGAGTAATCTTAATTCATGACAGTTTCTACTCCTATGTATACCATTCTTATATCCTTTTAGCACATCCTAAGTCTTTCATGTCACAACTCGCCTTAATTTTACTCTTTAGCCCATCTATCCTAGATTTAGATTGTTAATCAAGAGCATGTCATCCACATATAAGAGTAAATACAAAGCATATCATTATCCAAAGCAAATAAAAGCAACTATCATATTTGTCCCTATTAAACCCAATCTTAAAATAAATGCATCAAACCTTTTGTACCACTGCCTAGGGGACTGTTTCAGTCCAACAATGACTTATGAAGCAAACCACATAATTTGGAGTCTTTATCAATAAATCCAGTAGTTGTCTCCTATATATTTTTCTCTTCTAGGTTTCCATGTAGAAAAGCAGTCTTAACATCTAGTTGCTTTCTAGTCTAGTCTAATGTGCAACTATACCAACATAATCCTAATTGTTTTATACAACTACTGGTGAGAAATTCATTAAAATCAATGCCTTCCCTTTGGTGTGTAACCTTTAACTACAGTCTAGCCTTATACCTAGGAGGTCAGAGAGTTTATACCTTCTTTTACCTTGAATACCATCGACTTCAACTGGTTTTGTGATCTGAGTTGGGACTAAGGACCAGGTTCTGTTAACCTTCAAAGACTTGCATTTCTTCCCCATTGCAGCCTGCCATTTGTCCTTGTCCTTTGATCTGATTGTTTCCTCATAGCTATCAGGTTCTGATCTTAGTACTTCGCTCTAGTCACCAGTCAGTGAAGATCAAATTAGCATAGGAATATCTTGCTGGAGGTCTGATCTCTCTACGAGTCCTCTCTCTAGTTAGCTGATACTGTGCTAGGGACTCTTCTTGGGTTGGTTCTAAGTTCTCAGCTGGTTCACCCTCCTGGTCATGATCCAGGCTGCCATTTCAGTTTCTTCATCTGATTTTTCTTCATCAGGTTGAATACTTAGGGGTCCACCTCATTTGTGTCCCTGCATTTGGTTCTTGACTCATAGGATCAATGCTTAGGTACCTGCATCGGTTGTAGTTTTGCAAGGAAAAATATTTTCATTAAAAATACATCCCTACTGATTATACTTTAACCCCTGGTGATGTTCTTTACTATAATCTACCCCTTTGTCCCTTCTTGTAACCGAAAGACCACTTTAGTTCCCTTCATTTGTGTGTGCATAGGTGCACACCCAAAGACCCTAAGGTGGTTTATGTTGGCTTTCTTTTGGACCATCTCTCATCGGGACAGGTGAAACCTATTGCAAAAGGGCTTCTGTTGACTAATATACTGCAGTGTTGAGGGCTTCTCCCCAAATGGTCTTAGGTAATCCTGATGTGAACAGTAATCATCTCACATTTTCTAACAATGTCCTACATTCTCCTCAGCTACTCCATTGCTGAGGAGTTCCCCTGACTTTCTGTGTCTCAAAATACCCTGATCACTACAGTATCTATCAAACCTAAATTGCAAAACTCTAGCCCATTATCTGTCCTAAGGGCTTTAAACCTTTCGGTCCATTTGGTTTTCTACATGTTTTTGCCAATTCTGGAACCTATCTAAGGCCTCATTTTTAAATCTAAGCAGAAAAACTCACACTTTCCTACTGTAGTCATCACTATCGATAGAATAGTTGCTGCCCCCTTGAGATTTTATCTTTTCTGGCCCCCAAAGACCAGCATGTAAGTATTCTAAACAGTTAGTGGCCTGTTGGGTCCCTTATGAAAACTTAGCTTTTGTTGCTTCCCCATTATACATGTTTCACAAAACTTCAGATCACTAATGACTCCCTACCAAACAACCCCTGTTTACTTAAGATTTAGGCCTTTTTTGCTCATATGCCTTAACCTTAAATGCCATTTTTCAGTGTCTCTCAGATTTGTAGTAACAAACATCAGAACAGTAACCCCCACTCAGATGTAAACCCATTCTTCTTTACCCCACTAAGTACTATGCTGTTACCCTTATAGACATTTAAGCAATCGTTTTTCTCCTTATAACAACACCCAGATTCATCAAGGTTCCTAAAGAATCAAGTTTCTCTAAAGATCTAATGTATCTAACTTTAGTAAGTTTGACTAATTTTCCATTATTCATCCTCAAGATATGCTACCACAACTCCCTGAACCTTACAAGCATCGTTATTTCCCATAAACACAGTCTCACAGTCATTTGGTTCAAAATCTGGGAACCAATTTTGTTTGGGCTCAGTGGAAAGCAACCAGATCTAACACTCATTCCCCTATGTATTAGTCTTAGACACTGTTCGACCTCTGATTCTTCAATGCTATGTTTGGTGGTGGCTAAATTGCTCTCAGTTGGATTGTTTCTGTTTCCTAATCCCATCAAAACAGTTTTTCTTTAGATACCAGCCTTATTGCAATAGAAACATTTTCGGGTTTCCCCTTTGGATTTATTAGTGTTTTTTACCCTTCTTTTTGTTCCTAGCCACTGCCGTGATGAGGATTACTATCGACCTAACTATTTCGCCCTACCCTTAACAAATAGGCTATTCCCACTCATTTTCTAACCCTAGTTTCTAACTCCCTAGCTTTTTTAAATCTACACTAAGTACAGTGCCAGTGTACTGCAAATCATTCTTTACTACCATATATTCATCATTCAAAGAATTTAAAAGAATCATGGCAAGGTTGGAATCACTGAGTTCTTGTCAGTACCCTTGAGAACCAGGGTCATTTTCAAGACCATCAAGGTTCTCCTCATAGTCCTATTACTATCCATTTATACGAAAATAAGGCACCTTTTAAGTGTCTGATAGTGGGACTGATTGCAAAGCAGGAGAGTTTCAAGCTTACCCCAGAGGCCGATTGGGGTTTTAACCCATCGACCTTACACAACACATGTTGGCAAGGTCATGATGATTAAATTGTAGGCCTCTTCATCCACTTCGACTTCTTCTCCGGCCACTTGGTGGAATCCTTCTCCAGCGCGATAGACCACTTTGTGTGGGACAACAAAGCTTTCATCTTCTTCTTCCACTGTCGCAATCGATTTTTCCATCATACTGGGTGATCTCAACCTAGTTGTACTCATGACTGAATGTGTTTGTTTGTTGTTTGTTTTTTTTTTTTTTTTTTTTTTTTTTTTTTTTTTTTTTTTTGTTTGGTAATTACTAACCAGAACAAAAGAAACCAAGATTGTCCTCTCCTTCTCAATTGATATCCCGAATTTTCAGAATTTCTAATCCTAGACTCTCCCAGCCTTTACAAGACACCCAATTTATGACCAAACCCTAGATTTCGAAAATCAAGAACCCTAGGATTGACAACACTAACCTTGCTCTGATACCACTGTTATGTAAATTCACTATCAATTATTGTCTAATCACAAACACA